GGGGGGGGGGGGGGGGGTGGAGGTTTCATGGTAAAAAGGTCTGCTTTTTCAGAACGCCCCCCCCCCCCTCCTTTGAAATTCCTGACTACAAGCCTGACTCTTGACAATTTAATTAGATATCATACATCATAAACACCATAATATTATGACATATGTTATAAACAAATAAACTGTCAGATTCATCTACTGAACTGCCTTGCATACATGTAGCAGCTAGTTTTACATTCAATACATATTCAATGGTTTTTCTACGATATCAATCTTTTGAGGCAGCATTTAACCCAACACTCGCTTCCTCATTCCCTGTAAAAAGGAGAAAAAAAAAAAAGAAATCACACAGTTCACTGTACAATGTACAGTGCACAGTATGTGTTCAATGTATCTCTCAACTTCACAAACATGATAAAAGGCACAGTATTGCCTAACCTAATCACTACTACAAAGTACCAGACAAAGAGCCAGACAAAGAGATCAATAATTCCTCTCCATTATTGATCTGACTTTCTTGATCAAATTACCACCCTTAATTATGCCTGTAGCGGGGCCCCACCTCCATAAACACAAAGTCCTGTGATTAGTATAATCATTAACATTCATTTGATGATTTTTTAACCATACAGAAAGAGATGGTGATACCATTAAGTGCATGTATGAGTTACACTGATCAAACATGCTGTTAATTTCAGGACCCCTCTGACTGTTACATGTATAATGTGCACACACATGAAATACTATGAGAAATATATACTCTTAAAATCTTGTGTAAATTAAATACCCCAGTATGCCACAGAAATTAATTCATTTATCTATGTGAAAATCTTTGACCATAGGCATTGCACAGTGCACTATTTCCCTAATAGATGATTATTAATACTAAGTTTTAACACAGTGAGTCTTTATACTGCATGTAGCTGCATCAACTGTCATCCTCACTTAGTACTGGATGTTTATCATTTTTCTCTCTATGGCTGTACATATATTTATTATTATTTATTGCAGTTCAAGTACATTTTTTTACAGTGACTATGACCTAACAGTATACATTATATAATCATTTAACTAAAATTACAATAGTATATATATAAACACAATTGAAGTGGTGTAGTGGCATACAGTCACACTAAAGTATTATAGAAATCTGCAGCTGAATTAGTCTGCATTGAAGTATATTAAACATTCAATACTTTAACTACACTTTAGACTGACAATTTTTTTTTTTTTTTTTTTTTTTTTTTTTTTTTTTTTTTTTTTTTTTGTGTGAAACTGGGACCGGCTAAGTCTGCAGCTGATTAGGGCCCTGGTATCTGGATAATCTGAAGGATCCACATTGATGATTAAATCCATACCCACCATAACATAATCATACGACTCCATGCATTAGTCATTATTTCATTACTTCATGCCCTTATACCAAGATCTATTTCTTTTAATGGGACCATGCCCGAGCATTGTAATTGGACTTAGAGACATAAAGGAGTTGAAGATGGAAATTCTTGGAGGAAAACCCTGGTGAAATCAAAGCATGACCAGCTGATGTAAAATGTATGCTCATACGCACAAATCCATGTATCGTTAAAAACATAAAATGTCTTGGAAGTGTAAGCTATTGCGGAACACGTGCATCTTTTAGTTTTTGTGTGAGGATATCCAGTTAGACAGATGTTTCTAGCAGGTCTGCCAGGTTAAACACTTGTGAAATGAAACATATTCCAGAAAGCTTAGTTTGAACATTGCGCTCTACATGTATATTATGCATCTAAAAAAAAGAACACCAAATGGATCAAGAAATAATAGTGCTGACTTCCACAGAAATATAGGCCTTGACCATTCACAAATATTAATTTCCTTTCTCTGCTGTAACATGGTTCTAAATTCTAAATTTGCAGTGTCAATATAACAGAACTCTGCTGTTTTACATGAAGTATATGGTGGTGGGGAGGGGGGGGATATATCTAAGAGAGATGCTCTTTGTAACCACAAATGTGCCAAATAACTCCTGTTAAACTCTACATTACATCACATATATATATATATACAAGATGTATTCAAGCATTCACTACAAGCACTCCATTTAAAAAGGTAAAAGCAATCATTAGTCGTGCCACATAAATAACACTTACTGAAAATAATTGGCTTTAAAATAACAAAAGTACAGTGAACAGGGGCAGTACAACAAATAACCAGTTTGTATAACATGGGAGACTGGTCAGCAAGATAGAGGAGAGACAAGTGAAGCTACTGTGCACATTCCTTCAGGACCTTTTTCATCTGACAGTGTCATCCATTATCTTTATAAATGACTGGCTACTGCACTGTAAAAGACAATGGCATGTCCCTACTGGTCATACATCTACTGCATACAGAAGTCAATCTAATATCAGACATTTTACATCCGGAGTTTTCTGAGATAACTTGTTCTTGAAACGAATTCAAGAACTAAAAATATACAAGTTTTTAAAAGTTAAACAGTCAGCTTTGAAACTCGTATGTCACACTAAAAAAATATCTGGTTTTCTCATAGAGTCATCCTTTATCACATGCATTGATTACCGTGGGCTGTGGGAATCTTGTACACGCTCTGCCATATGATTATTTTGTATAACTTATTTCCCTACTGTGTATGATCAACATTTCTGCCACGCAATAACCTACAAAATTTTTTCTAATTTTTTTTTTACATATTTCACACTGTACTGTTTTTATATATCATTACTTCCTTATTGCATTATATTTGTTTATTGTATTCTGTTTTTATGGCACCATATTTTATATCTGTAAGTGTATAAACATTCCACTGCTCCTTTTTCTGGTATTTTGCTGTGCTTCAGTGGTTGGTACTTTGTACTGCACTGCAAGATTACCCCCTCTTAATGCAAAAAAATAAATAATAGGAAAACCTGATGCAAAATATGTCCTTTAGATTAACAACCTACGTTATACTGGGCAAGACTTAAATGGTGGTGGATAAAAAAACAGGTTGAAAGCTAGAAAAATAATTCATAAAAAAACTGAACATGTATTTGCATTTTTTCCTTGTAAATTGCCTCCTTTAAATAGTCTCCAAATGTTGCAGAAACACATGGACTTGTTATCAGTGCCAGTTTCTGAGGGAGTGAACGTTGTTACGGCTTATGCACATTGCATTTAACACTAGGCATGGAAAACGGCTTGCATTTACAATGCATTTATAGCTAGAATACTAGTCCCAATGGAGAAAGATACATGTATTCATGCAAGTGAAAATTATGGTTGTATGCAGAACTTGCAATGGTAGCATCTTTTCAATTAGAGCTAAGTGGATCAGGTAGAGTAATTCATCTTTATCAATAAAGGTGCTGGAAACACTGTAATGGTCTTCTCTCTCCAGGGACAAAGTGTATTCTGAATGTTAGCCAATAGGGAAAACTGTTGTACAGAATGTGCAGCATAAAGTGTTGTACAGACAGACACTATATATATGCAACACAGAACTGTAGCTAGAAACTTCAAATCTACCACATGTGTATTCAAAGAACTTAAAAGACTTGGACTCAGAGTGGCTCTTTTCTCTGCCAAAAGGACAGTCCTGTCAAACTCCCACAATCCCCTACTGAACAATGACAGTTACATATTTCTACCTCTCTGCTGCCATCTTGATCTGTTACTGCTGACTGGAAACAGCACAATATTAGCTATCCTGATGGGGCCGCCGAAATAGTCTGAAGGTTCAACAGTCCGAATGTTCACTATAGAACCTTCGTACCAAAAACCCTTGATTAAAAAACTAATGAAAATGCTACGATTTTTCGGACCAATGAATCTTCGGACTATTGAGACGTCCCCAATGCTGATAACTGTAGTGAGTTTGCATTAAACTCTGAAACCCAGGGTACATCACACCTGAATCAACTCACCTGCTATTAACTGGAGGCCTCCTCCAACTCGAGCTAAAGTTTGTGATATTACATCCCGTACACAACAGGAAAACATGGCAGTAAATGCAACAAGCATTGACAGAGCACATCCAGTTCCTACGAGTATGGTCACAAGTTGCCACGAAAAACTGGGAATATCTGTGAAAGTCGTGTATCGTCCACACTCCTCTATAATCTGCAAAGCTTGCGTGTCAGGGTCTATCCTGGGATATGTACACCTCCGAAATGGTCCGAACGTTACCAGAATTGAAGTTCTGTTATTCTCTACTCCAGGCATTGTTCCTTGTAGCCAAAATGGCAAGTAGAATCCTGTGGCGGATAACCCCATGGATATCATGGATAAAAAGGCCCAGAGATATCCGACTCCAGTAAGGCTGGTCCCCATGCTCTGTCTGCCAGCCCTATACTTCATAGGGTCCAGCTTGTTCTTGTAGTAGTTATATTTATCCACCATTTCGAGGCTTTAAGCTGATGATGGGGTGTGCGGAGACTATATTTCTTCAGATAAAGTCTGGAAATATGAAGAAAATAGACATTAGTCATTCTCACATCTACGCTTATTGCCGTTCCCCTGTGAGTTAGCCTATATGCCTCTCTCATGTATAACCCATCAACGAACTCATTATACATATGTCTGATAGAACTGTTAGATCATGGGGCCTCTGAGGTGTATAATGAATGTGCACACCTTGGGGTTTTTTGTTGAAGATAAAGCTTGGGATATAGACATTAGTCTAGGATATGTGCCAAAGCCGCACAGAGAACATAAAATTAACACTTTGATCTGAAGTGATTAATTTGCTAATTCATCAAGCCAGGATCAACTGTTGAGAATGATGTGTGTATTTTTTTCCAAGGTAAATGCTGACAGAAATGACCATGTGTATTTGCATGCATGTATGCACATGCATGCTAAGAGGAAATGTTTATCATGTTTCATGTTGCAGATAATCGCTTATATTTGCATTTCCAACATATACAAATACAATTTTGAATCTATTTCTCAGCAGTCAGTCAGTACATGTATATCAGTACTTAATGTTTGACCATTGACAACATTGCATTCTTCACAAGGAAACTTTGTCTGATCATGTTTTGAAAAACTGTCCAGGTTTTGGACAACATGTTACCTACAAGTCTACTACTAGCTAGTGCTTATACTGTTTTACAAAAACCTCCTCTACTTGTGCAAAATGATGAATGAAATGTATCAAAATAAAGACTATAAGTATAATTCAGCATTACAATCTATTTCAATGTATTTAACTATGTACACACATTTACACAGTGCTTTACTGATGTGGAACACGCTGTAGTTCAATCAGTCTATAACTGTTCAAAATTACCCTTTAAATGAAAAAGTGCAGTTTCCACCTGAACGACTTTCTACTTAATTTCCACACAGTAAATTACACAGTTACTTAACCTTAACTCCCTGCACTTACTTAAAACCCTCTGCTTCTTAAAACACTGGTTTAGTAAGTCAATAGCTTGTTAAAACATGGCTCAGTTTAGAAAATAAACACAAGGATTAGGAGCCTCGACCAGCAAATAAAAGTAGCTACTGAATGTGAACAAAGTAATACATTTGTAGATATTGTTGCCTAATTCAAACTCAGGAGGTGATAGCCTTGTAAAATTCACTGAAGTGCAGTAAACTACAGGGTTCTTGGGATCAAACTGAAAGCCAATACTAACATAAAATTAAGCTGCTTGTTATTTTACAATTTTACTTAAATGGTATTATGGTATATGGTGTAAAGTTGACTGTGCCTATGCAGACTTTTACACCAGCCCTAGTTGGATTTCTCATTTTAGACCCTTGCCTAAAACATTAATACATTTCACCAAGTCAAAACAGTTGACTGGCTTTCTCATTTAATGAAAAAAAAAAAAAAAAATGAAAAAGTTAAAACAATAATCAAGTTTGTTTAAGTAGGCCTATGTGTGTACATATAAGTGTATATGCAAGCTCATATGCACTGAGGTACTGAGCATCGAAACCTCTAAATTGAGAAGACAATTACTACCACCAAGTCATAATACAAACAACACTGCAGCAGCTGTACAGACCTTATAAAGCTTTAAAAATTCATCCAGAGTTTTACAAAGTTTAACATTGTTACACATAAGACTAGAAATACTACAAGGACTATCACCCCGTTTCCATAGATTTTTAGATCGATCTATCCCTGTGGGGAGTCTCACTAGATTACTGTCAGCTTGGCCGGCTTAAGCATCTGTCCCGCCTACTAAAAGCTGTAAGGGGGTAATTAACTATGGTGTCCGCTCGGCTGACTGCAATTTAACCTGAACCCCCAGGGAGTTAGGTCGATCTAAAACTTAATCTTTAGATCGATCTAAATCTCTGGGAAAGCACCCTTAGTCTATATTAAGTAAGTACATATTTCAGTGGGACTCCTGTGGTAGGTTGTTTACTGGTGTGTAACTCCCCTTAATCCCTCTTCCATTGATGATACGGCTAATCTTCTCAGCATACCGCACTTCACCTCCACTGATGCACTCTCTTACACAGGTCCAGGCCTACCCAACTACCAGACTCAGCACCGAATGATGACGAATTTACTGGTAGATTAGACCACACTACCTGTTTTCAAGGTGTATGTCAGTATGCATTTCACAGCATCATACCCCGGAACAAATTTTGAGATGAAATGCACTAATTTTCAACCCCGCTGAAAATCATCACTATCACATCGCGTACTAGGCAAGAGCGGTGTTGCGACTGATACATTGAAGCATGTACTGACGCACACCTTAAAAAGGGTAGTGTGGTCCGATCTACCGGTGAATTCGGGATCAGTCGGTGCCTAGTCTGGTACTCAGTAGTTGGGTAGGCCTGAGGTTGGGGGCAGTGGGCTCTCTCTCTCTCTCTCTTTCTCTCTCTCTCTCTCTCTGGTCAAAGCTTCAACAGAACCAACTCATACCAGAAATATGGCTTAAATATCAGACACTCCTTTGAGTGAGCATTGGGATAAAAATTAACAGCAACAGTCAGACTGATCAGTGTACAGTACTCTAGTGAAGAGAGTGCTACACTATGAGATCCTTAGCAATTCTGTAATGCCACAAACATCTCCATGTCATTGTCAAGGAATGTAAGCCACATTTGCAGGAAGTGTAAACTACTTAGCATGGCCATGTTGCTGTCAGTCAATGTCCTGAGAGATTTTTATATATTTGTGATACACAAGATTAAATAGCCTGAACTTTAGTTAAAGCTAAATCCATAGTGGAAGACTTAAATAAAGTGCGTACTCGTCTGAAACATTTGCCATTTCTTTCTTGTTATAAAACAGGTGTAACAGTTCTTTCAAGTGGATTAGGGCGTATTCCCAGAGCTTTTAGATCGATCTATCCCTGTGGGGAGTCTCACTAGATTACTGTCAGATAATCCGGCTTTAATGTCTGTCCCGCCTACTACAAACTGTAAGAGAAAGTAAACTTTCGTGCCCGCTCGGCTGACAGCTATTTAGCGTGAACCCCCAGGGAGTTAGGTCGATGTAAAGTAGATCGATCTAATCTCTGGAAATGGGGTCTTAGTCTTTTAATTGATCCAATGAAATGAAATCTGAATTTATGTTTAATCAAGCAGACTACAAATTTACTCTAAAACATTGTATAAATCTCTGGTGGAAAGAATTTTTTCTCCTGCAGTAGAAGATAAATTGCATGAATCATCATAATCTTGCTTATCCAGAGATTTTTTCCTGTAAAAATCAATATCTGGTCATCAGGCAGTCTTTGTCTGTTCTTGACAGTCAAACGAGAGGAAGGGGATAAGAATAAAATATCTAAGCCTTGTTTCATTATGATCAGGTCAATTGTTCGGCAAGCGATTTGTAATGTCTATTCTCCCATTATTGCATACACTATTACATACTGTGTATGGCATTAATACAAATCACAGCAATATCAGGGGCAGACTGAGGGCACCTTCTGGGTCTTCCCGGAAGATGGTCAGATTTTCAAGTTGACACTGACGGGTATCTAAATTTTTCTGTCGGAAGATGGTCAGAAATGGAGGCTGAATCAACAAAAGTAATGTGGAAGACTGTCAGAGAACATCTCTTGACCTGCTCCTGAAAATAGCAAGCCTGCAAATGTGATGGATATACGCATTTCATGCCGCATAAACTATCACTATCAACATTTTTTACAAAATGACAGGTCTTTTCACTTTTCTCCAGCCCCCCCTCAAGGTGCGACCCTTGATATTGGAGGCACTTTTTGCGATGTCCCTTATGGCATTTTGCAAAAAAACATGCGTCTCACATTACAATGAACAAAGCGGGAGAAAAAAATCAACCACATCCATTTTCACATCAATAATAGTAGAATAATTTCTCAAGTGTCATATTTAACAAAGGAAGAGGGGAAAGAAGTTTATGGCTTAATCTCGAATCTTCCTTGTCGTGCCACTTTAGGCTGTCAACCAGGTACTTCAAGGACTTAAGCAAAATTGCCTCTGTTGGCGATAAAAAAACTTCAAACCTGCCACTTATCAAAGGTAGCAGCCTGCCAAATTATGGGGCTGTTATATGTGCCTGACTGGTTGTTGAATGGACCCAACTTTACACTGTCAATGGAAATGGATGTAACTTGAGGTTGTGGTCACTTAATTTAAAATTAACCAATTATGTTTTTTTTTTTTGTTTAAAAAGATCAAGTATGTTTGAAGTCTTTAAACTAAAATCAACTACTTTGTGTTTAACACTGTATCCAGTCACCCTGACTCCAAAGGATTACTGGAAACAAGATGGGCACGCAGGTAGTAGAAAGTTGAACTTCCATTAACCTCGGAAACTCAGGGTTGTGCTACTCAGTGTGGGATACTTAAGATTGCTTATCAACAGTAATTAATACTTCCTCTCAGACTTTTTAAGGAATTGTTTATCAGCAGTAATTAATCTGTCTCCTTCCACTTATAAGGAAAGCATTTGTTGGTTCAACCATGTCCATGTTGGATGTGGTAAAATGATTCATCTTTGTATTGCTCTTACCTGTATACAAGTAGTTCTATAGTTATTTTCACTTGATTGTCATTATATTTTAGTTGTTAATTTTTCTATACTGATTTATTACTTATTATATGACATAAATACTTTTCAGATTGGTAACATCTTATTGGATTAACTTTGTGCAAATATTATGAAATAAATGCATTCCTGAAGTGCAGTTTTTTACTGGGTCACAGTCCCTATGGGAAAAACCAATTTTTACACTTTAGTAGTAGAATCTACTCAGCATTTAATATTTTACTGCATATTTTTCTTAGCGAGGTGTTATATATGTCTTGAACCAGGGCCATCATAAACATTCTGCTCTAACAGTTGTATTGTAAACACCAATTAAGATGTTGACATTGTGTGCAATGCTATTTAATGTGCTGCTAAATAAACATATCATACATTAAGTAAGCAGCACTTCATTTAGTATTATGATGTGACAGAAGCTTTATTGTGGACAAATACAGAGGTGGTGACTGAGTGCAGTTCAATCTGAAAGTGACCAAAATGTTTCTGATTTCAGACTTCAGCGTGTATATGAGCCTGTGTTTGTTAATTGTAATTAAAACATCTATTGAATAATCATACTATTGCATATAGGTATGCAATGTCAAAGGCAGGTCCAAGTTGAAATTTAGTTTAATATCTACAGATTTTATATTTTTATTCTGTAATAGTTAACATCTGAAAGGCCACTGGCAGAGATAAACAGTTACGGCAGCCGATAAGTCTATTGTTATCTGCAAATATTTGGCATCAATATTCATAAACAGGTCAGAAGATACAGTTTGCCATTGTAATAACAAGCCAGAATTGATTCAGATGGCCTTAAAGCTTTGTTCAGTATATAACCAAACTAACCGAAATCTCTGACAGGTGCTTTAAATAAGAGAAACTGGACCTACAGCAGATAGCATGTGACTGGCATTTAGCAGCCAAATACTGCTATTAAGAAACACATGTACCATGTTCTGTTAATACTAAAGTTCTGTAAGTATTAACAGGTCTATCAGCTCTCTAATCTAATACAATAGTATCTTCCATATGATACTATAAGATACCAGGTGCATGTAAGAAGAAAATGTGTCTGTGTTTGCTTGTGTGCATGTATTCTTATGCTCGAATGTGTGTGTGTGTGTGTGTGTGAGAGAGAGAGAGAGAGAGAGAGAGAGAGAGAGAGAGAGAGGGAGGGCCGGCGCACTAATTAACGACCAGTCTAAATTCTTGGGTACATTGTATCAGTTCAATATATTGCAGATTATCCAATACCAAAATCTACTAATGGATCACTGATTACATGAAGGCTAACTTCGCAATATGAAATTGAGAATTACTGGTAAGACAAAATAGACACTAAACAGCGAACCCAGAAAACTGCTGAACATATACGAAAAATAAAGCTGTCCCTTACCTTCCCCTATCGAGCTACCAAGACCTATATTACTCAGTTTTTGACTCCAGTGACTGGTATTACCTCACCAAAAAGTCATATTCCACCTCCAGAAGTTACGCAGTGTCAGCACCGACTGAACTGTGGCATGCGGAAAGCGAGCACTACCCGTCCTTCCCTTTCGCCTTAATCTAACCGTCGTGTCAACCGATCTCCTCAGTCATCACCCAGAGCAAAAACAAGTGAAATGCATGGTATAAAATTCAGCCACTTACCCTCTGTAAACTTCTGGATTATTCACAACTTCATGCCTAGCGCTAAAAGCGACAGTCTCAGCGTCTTTTTGATAAATAAATCACTGCATCCGGCAACAACCCGCTGTCAGAAAAACGATGGTCAAAGGGATTAGGCCCTGGAGTCTGGATGACGTTTCCAATGTCAACAAAGCGGAGTTATTCATCCATGTTCTGGCAGGATTGTCCAATCAGATTGCAGAACAGGAAATCTCGTTAAGCGCCCTGTTAAAAATGAGCAGCTATTTCAGGGTAAAATGTGAGTCTGACTTTATGTATGGTATTAACGATTTCTATAATTTAAAATCTGTTATTCTGAGACATTTAAATCTTTCAATCATGTGTAAGTTTGTAAGAATTTCCCTGTGAAATTTCAGCTCTCGTACACCTTGCGAGATTTGAAAAATGGCGACCATCCAAGAGCAGACCGCTGACACGTCTTCGCCATCGTCTCAGCCGAATAATCCTCTATCTAGAAAACTGAATAAAATTCTAGACACAAGACTTGATAATGATAAGGTAAAGAATGTATACTTTGTGTATCAAAGCTCGTCGTGGTCGTCTTTACATGCAACTTGCAGCTAACCAAACAGGCAGTCGGCAGGCCGTAAACAATTACCGCAGTAGTGTTAAATTTCCAACTTAACTACATGAAGTTGTACCTGCAGCCAGATTGTCAAACCTTCAGATAAATAGTTAAAATGAAAAACACCTACCCATATAAGTCTTTTGATGACAAGCGCTAGGATCACTTACATGGGAACCAAGAAAAATATAGCAAAATTACTTTCTATTTGTAAGTTATAAATACTGTACCATTGCCCCTACCGTCCCGAACCCAGGTACATTTGGATTTTTTCCCACACTATACTGTCAGAAACCCCTGTACCCTGCCGACAACACCAGGGATTACATGTGCTCAAATGGTTCAAATGCCATGCGATTTCATCCAGCTTCTAACCATGGAATCATTATGCAGGGACATTTATTTACCAATAACAATCCAATTCTCATTCTGAGCTGGAGCTGTTCTGTTACTTTGAAAGAAATGGTTTGTGTCAATGTGAAAGTAAAAATAAAGGGAAAAATTAATACATGTGGTACTTATGATAGCCAGTATAACAATAGTAAAAGCCTTGGCTTATTTCAAAGAAATCAGAAGTAAATATTTTCAATTGTCAGTACACACTTGTACTTTCAGGAAATGCTGGAAGCCCTCAAAGCTCTGTCCAGTTTCTTCAGTGAAAACACTTTGAGGAACAGAAGAAACCTGAGAGGAGATGTCGAGAGGAGGAGTTTGGCCATCAATGAGGATTTCATTCAGGCTTTCCAGCAAGTTAAAGAGGTCTCTGTCTCACTGTCTCTCTCTCTCTCTTTCATTTATATTAAATATAGATAAATAATTTTACATCTTAAAATGTTATTTGTCGCTTAACATTCTAATTAGATACAGCTTACTTTGTGTTAATTTTGTTTTAAATCAATATTATTCATCTTTCAGCAACTTGACTCTGTCTATGAAGATGTGAAAGGAATGAGTGAGTGTTGTCAGGACATGACCACTAGATTAAAGGTAAACTTCCTGTTCTTTTTTGTTCCTATGGAATAATGGCTTTTAGACCAAGTCAAATTTAATATGATAAACTACTTTAGAAGTCTTTGTGAAAGTAGGGTGCTTTGTACTGCTTTGGTTCACTATTTTGTGTGTTTAGTCCTTTATCTGTATGTATGTTTGTTTATTAGGATATTAATTACAAGTTACAATTTTGAATTTTTTTATGTTAAATGTTTGTTTATAATTGTCTTTCATGCAGTTATTATTTTTACTATGGTTAATGTTGTTGTTTTTATATGCTGAGTCTGTGACAATCATTATTTTGCAATACTTTTGACATATCTGCAGCATGTAAAATGCAGATTCACATCAAGAATGTCTCTTTTCCCAGGCAGCAAAAGAGCAGACCCATGATTTGATCAACCAGACAACTCAGTTGCAAACAGAAAGGTAAATGCGACTGATACACACTTCCTGGTGTTATTTCTGCTTGTCATATTCTCAGAATGCTATTACTCTTGCATGACCAGAAATAAATCTTAGACTGTAATACATAATGTAAGCACACCTTCTGCTTTTCAAAACAAAATTCTCCAGAATAAATTTTACTCTCCTCTTTTTTTTTGTGTGTGTAATTAGCCAGAGGCTGCAGATGAGAGCACAGGTGGCAGATGCTTTTCTGGCCAAATTCCAGCTGAAACCAGAAGAGGTGAAAATTCTTAGAGGAACACGGGATGGTGCCCTGCATCCAGTAAGTGTGTCTGCAATTGTAGGTACATATGATGTAGAGATATAACTGAGAGTTGCAAATGCCTGGATATGATGTATTTATTCAGCCTTGAATAAATCTCATCGTGCTTGGAATTATCATATATAATTATTAGTAATACCTGGAGTTGATTTTGATTTTGTATTATTTTTATATATTTAGTAAATAAATAAATTTATTTATTTCTAAATTTGTGATATTCCAGGACTTTTTCAAAGCTTTGGCCCGTGTAAAACAGATCCACACAGACTGCAAGGTGTTGCTCAGAACAAATCAACAGACAGCAGGGTGAGTGGCGGAACATTGCCTAGCATAAATAACAAGTGTTTAGAGAAAAAGAGATTAAAATGGAGTGGCAGTATGGAAAACACAACATTATATAAACAGCAACCGTTTCCAGACTCATACTTCATAAGTCTTACTATTGAATCAAAATCAAATTAAGGGAAATATTAAATAAAAATAAGGCTTGTGAATATATATCTAATCAATTATTGTATGAGTTAATTAATTGAGGATGTATTGTGTTGTAGGTTGGAGATAATGGAATCAATGGCACTACATCAGGAGTCAGCATACGAGAGGCTGTACCGATGGACACAGAGTAAGCACAGGCCTGGAGTCCAACGTTTCAGGAGGGGTGGGGCGTTCTTCTGAAAAATAGGACCTTCTCACCCTTTTAGTTGACCCCAGTTTAGATATTGCATAAAACTTGTGACAAATTTTGATTCAAATTCCTGTCTGCAGGCATGTGTAATAATGTAGAAGCCACAGTTTTCTAACAATCTCAAACTTAGAATAAGGCAGTTAGATGATACATTTAATAGGATTTGTGTCTAAGAGGGATTTTTAGTTGGCATCTCACCAATCTATCCTTCAAGCCTATCAAGCCTGCCCAGATTTGAATCTCAACCAAGAAGTAAATAAAAAACATAATTGCCATGAGTCTCAGCTGTGACATATCTGTTTCTTCTGCCCAGATGAATGCAGGGCTCTGAGCAATGAGTCTCCAGATATCAGTTCTCAGCTCTGTTTGGGTTTAGAGGCATTACAAGACAGACCGGTGCTCTTCAGGTAGGTATGAAAATCTGTGATCTAGGGCAATTTACCAATAGATTAACTATTGGGCTGGCCTGGAAAAATATCTTGTAGAAGCACACCAGGACAGACTGTTACTGTTCAGGTAGCTATGAAGTGTATTAATCTGTTTGTCTATTAGCTTTGTATCTAGGCCAGTTTACTGTTGGACTATATGTTCCAGTAATCTTTTTTTTTTTTTTAAATTCGGTAATCTGATAGAATTTCAGAGGTTATTTTTGATTATTTTGTTCACTGAAGTATCTATCAGTAATGCATATTCCCGTGTTGTAGGTATTCTCTGGATGAGTTTGGTACAGCCAGAAGGACAGCCATTGTGCGAGGGTTCATTGACGCTTTAACAAGAGGAGGTAAATACTGGCTCAACTGAATATTTCACTTATTCAAATAGTTTGAGATAATAATGATGATGATGATGGCTTACAATTATCTAAGTTTTATTAAGATATTGGACTTTTGTTATGATTCAGTAATGAATTGCCTAAACCCTGTTAAGGGCATTTCGAATGCAAAACCACTGCAATAGTTTCATTTTTAGAAAATGTGAAATAAATATCTCACTCGTTTGACCTGAGTTATTATTCATTTATAGACTGATTCAATGAATAACCATTTTTGAACTCATAGAATGTTTTAAATTATATTTATTTATTCAGTGAAATAAAGATATCTTCAAATAATTATTCTGAGATAATCAATTTTTGGAATTATCATTCGAATTACCTTTTTTTTAGGTCCAGGAGGAACGCCAAGACCTATTGAATTACATTCCCATGATCCTTTGCGGTACGTGGGTGACATGTTGGCATGGTTACACCAGGCGACAGCATCAGAAAAAGAACATCTACAGACTCTACTGAAGAAGTGCAATAATTGTTGTAAGTATAGACTGTAGGTGGCGCTGCAATGGCAGATGGGCCTTAGTGAAGTGTATCACATAATTTTGATTTTAATTATTTACCCACTGAATTATTTTGTACTAACATTTTTACTATGGTTCATGAATATATTTATAATATTATAACACAGGGAAGATCCTTTATGGCCCCATGTACAGGAAAAAAACTGGTATATATAGTGGTCTGTATGGATATGAACTGATAGAGGAGGCTGTCATGAAAGCTGATGAAGGTCAGAAGATGGGGACATTTGGTGTACTTGTTGTAAGGGAAACAATATGGTTTTGTATTTAAAGAAGGCGGGACCTATCAGATTTGGTGCATTTGTTGTTGTTGTTAGGGAAACAAAATGGTTGTACAATATCAGAGGGCAGGGCCAATCAATGTATTTGTTTTTGTGAACTTCAAGTAAATGAATTGGTTGGGTGATGTTTTTTTTACAGGTGTAGTCTGAGGGTCAAACTTTTTGATTATTTTTTTACCTCTGTGTAAGAAGAGTGTCATGGCATTGTAATGAATGTATATTATGAAGATAAAAGGCAAACAGAGTTGGCGTATTAACTGTACTTTCCCTTTTACGTGGTATCATTGTCATTGACTGTTATTGGTTTTCAGAACTGGTGGCTCCCAAGTGGTTAGAATTCTTGTTAATTTTGATTTCACTTGGGTTTTTGGGTTTGAAAGTACTATCTCTCTCCTCTTTCTAGCTTTGGAAAATCTATATGTTTTAAATAATTTTTAGTTATCTTTATTTATATTTACAGTTTTATTGCAGCTTAGGAGTGGGAAGGTGGCACAAATTAGAAATGTACTATAAATGTTTTCTTTTGTTTATACGCCTGTAAATATACAGGTTAATCTTTGTGTCACATTAAACATTTCTTAACGAAAAGACGAAATTTTATTTATTGTGTTGCTATTGCATATTACATTGACTATGGCCAAACATTTAAACATAAGTATATAAATTGATCAACCGAAAGAAATGGACTTGTTAAAAATTTTTATTAGTTATTTAAATATAGAATACAGATGGGTAATAGTGTTCCTTTGTCTCTTTTAATTTAAAGAACAAAATTTGAAGGTTTACTAGGAAGCATAGGACTGAAACTATGAAGGAATATAACATTAAAATAAAGTCACCATATGGTAAAAAAAAACTGTAAAAACTTGTGAGTAACTTTTTATTGCTTTACCAGGGCACTGTCCAGAGCAGAAACACACTACAACATTGGCTAGTAAGTAAATACCTCATCTGCGCCTTGATTTTCTAGATAATATTTGATTTGCATTTCAGCCAATGAGGGGACAATTCAAGACATTTTAGGCCATATCACAGAGGGTGTTTGCAGACCTTTTAAGGTTAGTTTTTTAGAGTGGTTTGACCTAGATTATTTGTACTTAAATGTTAAATCAGGCGCCAATCACATCTGTATTAGAGACGAAATGCATTTTTTGATGTCTTCACTCTTGATAAAAGAGTAAGTCATTTAGAGCTTGAGACTTAACCTGTTAAAAAAATAATGAAATGAGGTTTTTAACCATCATCTGACATCAAAGTGCCTTGGTCACATGACACTCGAGCGATGATGTCATTGTAGATAAAAGTTTCTTTAGAATGCTTTACTTTTTTATCATGACTTGTAGGAGAGAATTATAAAGATATTTACCCATATCTTCCTGTCTGTTCTTCCAGGTGAGAGTGGAGCAGGTAGTGGTGGCAGAGCCAGGGCCTGTCCTGTTGTATAAACTCACCAATCTACTCAAGTTCTATGAACACACGATAGGGTGAGTTATATGGTCTCATTTTTTCAGAATTTTAAATTTCAGTTTTTCTCTGATGATCAAATCTGTGATAAATGTGAAAAAAAACTGTCAACAGTAGCTAGCAACAAAATAAAAAAAAGATTAGAGAAGGAAAAATTGAAATAAATAATAACAGTTTATAGCATACTAAGTAATACAGAGAAATGTAAAAAGGAAAAAAGGCTCATATTGACAAGGGATCCATTGATTGATATTCATGTACGTAAAATGTTTTTCCATCCAGTCAGCTGCTGTCTAAAGACGCCTCTCTTCTGGGCACCCTGGACGAAGCTCACGTCTTGAGCTCTAAGATGTTCTTTAACAGTCTGAACATACATGCAGCAAGGCTTCTGGATAAGGTATGGTAGTTTATCATATGGAAATCATTCTTATAAATATTGATATTTAATTAAGCACTTTCTGTATCAAGGCATAAAAATGAATTTGTGACACATTTTGATTGTATCAGGCTGTGCTTTTGTTAATCCTGTATTTGGGTCAAGGTTAATTTTTATATTACTAGGACAAAAAAATGTCTTACAGAATAAAAAGATAAATTTGACAACAGAAAAGAAAATAATAAGGCACCTAACAACCACAAAGTTTGCACACCTAAGATATTTTTTCCACCAACAGGTTGAGCTTCCTCCTGCTGAGCTGGGACCCACGGGACCCCTGAACCAAACGCTACAGCTGCTGAAAGATGTGTTATCTTCCCATGATTCCTCAGTGGTGTCAATAGATGACAGGCAGAAGGATTTCTCTAAGGTATAATTTTTTAATTCCAGTGGCCATGTTTTTAAAGTTTAATGACTTACTTTTTCTGGTAACTTTTCACAAAGGTCCAATTATTCACATACTTAATTGATGTTCGACGGTAGATGGTTTGTAAGGTATGAGCTCTTGTACCTTTTTACTCAATTTTACAACTGCTTCCTACTGTGACTTTGGATGGAAGTTGCCATGAGGGCAAATTTTAAAAGTGGGAAAAAAATCTGTTACACGGCAATTTAGTTTCATGTGCATCAACAACAAAAAAGAAGACTGCATGCTCAGTCATCCACATGGTGAGCTACTTGTTTTCAAGAACACTTGCCCAGATATATAGATTTAGGGATTAGACAGGGCTGGGTATTATGGAAAGGTACCTTGATTTCCTTGAAGGAGCTGACCATAGTGATTTGTATTCCAGATCATGTCCAGTGTGATTGACCCCCTGATCCAGATGTGCTCCCTCTCGGCCAGTAAACTGACCACGGTGGACATGGCCACCTACATGATCAACTGTCTGTACACCATGCAGAGTGCCCTGGCCCTGTTTGAGTACACTGACCAGAGACTGGAGATGTTACAGGCACAAGTAAGTATACAAGATTAATAGAATTGTTTGTCCTAGCTTTGAATCACATAGATTATATGAAAAAGTAATGCCATAATGTCGTCACCAACAAAGATAAATTTGATTTGTATTTTATTTTGGCAAATTTGCAGGGTGGGATACAAAAAGAACATTTTGAATGCCTTTTTACATGTGTATTAAAAAGGGAGATTTAAATGAGGTAATATCTTCATCTGTGATTACATGGAATTTTACTGATTCAATTTTAGATTGATGCCCATATAGACACACTGATCAGTGAGCAGGCATCACATATCCTGCACAGAGTTGGACTTGCCAGTACATATGGTATAGTACAGCAACATCAGCCAAAACAGGTGGGTTCTGATTCTCTAGCTCTCTTTGTGTGTGCGTGTGTGTCTGTGTGTGTAAAGTATAAAGTATAAAGTCTTAGATTTCCTCTTGATGCTTTGTGGAATTGTATCTATCTATCTATGTATTTTTCCCCTAATGATATTTTAGGGTCCATTGTCATCTATCCCTGGAATGGAGCCAGGGACACTCAAGGGTGCTATAGTAAGTACTGGTATTATATATTTGATGATGATGTATGATGATGCAGAAGAATAGATTGATTAATGGGGTTTGAGTAAGTTCTTGTTTAGTGTTATATAAATTTGATGAAGATGATGCATATGATGATGATGTACATTATTTCCTTAAAAAGTTGTTGGAAAAAAAATTTGTTATTAAGTATGTATATGTACATATGGTTGTTAACTAATTGAACATTGAATTATTTATTTGATTAAGTAATTAAACAATAACACTTCTAGTGGTTCTTTCCAGGCCAAGTTTGACAGTTTCTTGTCCACGCCTGATGGTTACATATTACAGCAGTGTAGCTTACTTCAGAGTACCACTGTAAGGTAAGGTCCACTTGGTAAAAGAGATGGGGTGTACTTCTTGTCCATAAATTCCTCCTTTTTTGTGTAAAAAGAGATTTAAGAAAGTTCCTGGATTTTGTATGAAATTATAGGGAGAGTGTCTGGTAAAGAAATGAGGGTTTTCTTTCTTTCCTCAATATGATAGTCTACTAATAACTAAAAAAATTGATTTAAAAAATCAGAGAAATGTTCCAGAGATGCTCTATGGTAAACCTATCACATTCCATCTGAAGTTTTTAATAAAATATATCTAAATTTTCAGAGAAACAACACGGAAACGTTCTATGGAGCTGATTGTGTCAGCATATGAGGAGCTGTACACTGCTATCACCAACCCTCAGAATGGGTACAAAGACCCCCAAAATCTCATGCCTCGAACCCCTGAACAAGTAAAACATCTGTTGATATAGAAAACTCTGTTACATGTTTGGTGCACACATATTGATGATTTATTTTTTCATATTTATTGAATGTTTTTTCCTTTGGTTTGGGGGGGGGGGGGGTGGAGGGGGAAGAGGTACAATTTGTGGTTGAAAATTCACACTTTCGGACAAGAAGGACTACCAGATTGCATTGTTTTTTGTCCCAAGTGGTGCATTTTATATCAAAATATGTACAAAGAAGAGGAACCAAGGAGTGCATGTATAATTTCTTAATAGGTCTGATGAGGACCAATGCCTAAAAACTCAGAGGATCTAAAGGACCTCAGAAACTGGGACTTGGGTTGTAATACCTTTAATTTGTATTTATAATTCTTTAATGGAATTTTCATTTCATTATGCAGTTAAAAAATTTAATGAAAATTGTTTATATATGGGGAGGTTTATGGTAGGGATTTTTAAAAATAATAAAAAGTGCTATATTTTTCTTAGATATTTTCTAGTTTTTATCTGTAAAAGTGGCTGTTTATAATCTTTACAGGCCAGATAACACATGCTAAGATGCATGAACTTTGATTTGAAATTTTTAACAGCATTTCTCAGTGTTAAGCATTGATTTGATGAAATTTTATTTATTTGGCAAAAGCCAAAAATTTGATATTAAGTAATTCTAATAGAAAAACTTTGGGGGCTCTTGTCATATTTTTGTGCAAAAAAATTACCCTATTTTCTTTCACAGTGGCTCTCGTTGTTTGACCTACCCTTAAATAATTCATCAGTTGGGAGTCCAAAATTTTCTCTAACACTGCTGGTATAGCAACAATGTATCGTTGTACATTTGAATGGATTGTATGTGTTCTCTGCATTTGGCCTTTTTAACTCTATACCAAGGACATGCAGTAAATTTGAACAACAGACATGATTTTGAAATGATTTATTAAGAATTTTCATATGCCTTGCTTCTGATTATGATTTTATCATTAACAAAACCTAAATATCAATGTCACTGATATTACTTCGAATTAAATAAAAGGTATTTTCCAGTGATTCTTCAAACAAAACTGCACAAGCCAGTTAAACATATGATAACTTGTACTTAAAAAGTTTTCAAGTTTAATGAAATATACATGATGATTGAAGCATGGACTTGATGATCGGCAATTTATATACAATCATTATGACAACATGAGTAACAGGTTGGAGTTGAATTAAATATTTGCACCAAATTACAAAATTAATTAAATAGCAGAATTCTTATAATTTATTATTGTTATTTATGTAAAAATTCAGCAGTTTCCCCAGAAAGCTGACCATACTAGTGTACATTAACAGCAGTATAGCATCTATCTACAAACCCCTGAAATTATAGCATTTATTTTTACAATAGCACATATGCTTTCAAAATAACTTCAGATTTCTTCACAAGCTTATCCATTAGAGAAAAAAAGTGATTAGCAGCAGTTCAAACTTTTCCTTAAAAATGCTAAATACTATAAGCTAAAAATGGTTACATGGTATATTTATTTTTTAAAAATCACACAAGTTTTAAATAAGCTGTTTTTTTATCTTGCCTTTTTGTAACCTTAACATGGATGCTCAAATTCCATTCAATCAGTTATTGCACTTTCAGCTGCACTCTAATAAAAATTGTTTTTCAAAACTAAATTTCTGACATTAGAAATAATGTTAACAAGGAATTATTGTTTTCACTTTGGAAACACTTGGAAAAATATGCAAAATGACAACTCGTTGTTAATATTTATGCCCTTACTTTATATGTGTGACTTGCAGTAACTGATTTTTAAATTCTGTACAATGCTATATTTATTTCTTATAAAATATTATTATTATTATGACTCTTTTATTTTTATAAATATATAAATCTTAATATAAATCCTTACTGATCACATTACCATCAAAGTCATATAAGATCATTTTGTATTGTGCCACAGTTATTTGGAAGAACTCAAAAAATTACAAAATTGGCCACAGAATCACGACATGGTGGCCATTGGTGATGTAAGGCTGTAATGATTTCACTCAAGAAACTTACATCGAATCATGAGCTAGGATTCAAATACCAGCACAACCAACAAAACTACTGCATAGCAACTGAAGCAGATTCTTAATTTTAACCTTTTTCACAGTTTTTCTGTCTGGATTTGATATCTTAATAACATACATATTTTGTTTGGACCGAGCCATGACCTTCAAATTAAGAAAGCATTTATATTTACAAATTAAACATGCACATTCCCCTGTCTAGTGGGATTGGTATTGGGAAGAATCCAATTAAGCACCTCTTGGCCATACCAAACACAAGGTGGCCATCAACTGAAGCATAGATGTCACTGCAAAACAAGAATTGCAGCCTTTGCTGTTCTTTCACAACGTAAAAACAATTTTTGCAGTACTGCAACGATCTGTGACATTGATTAGGGCAGTTCTGTCACAATGAAGCCAAAAATTGTGCAAAATTTCTCCCTATTTTCCACTGACATGCCATTGCAGCTCTCCCTTAAAAGTATATTGTTATACTCGGTTTCTTGCCATCTGCTGTCTCCTGCATGGTGTTCTGTGGCAGAGAGTCTGAGCTGCTGTCATATGGGGTCACACTGACATCTGGGTCCAATGGGATCTTTACATGAAACAAATAATATCTACAGTTGAAAATGTTGTAAAAGCATAAAGTATTTTCTAATGCTTTCAAAAATTATCCACTACTTGCCGTAAGTACCACAAAAACCTATCACATTTAATTATAGCCTAAAGGTACACCTACTCAAGTTGCCAGATTGCAAAAGATTGCAGTACTGCCCTTTTGTAAAATTTACTCAGCGTTCACAAAGTTAAACCTTGTAATTCATAATACAAACCTCTGTTTGTGAATCCATGTGACGTGTCTTTCCCCAGGAGAGCTTTTTCACCTTCTTGGTCTTGTTGGCTTTTTCCTGCTGCACCAGCATCTGTGTGCTTCCCTTATGGATACCATTTGGCAAACTTTCAGGCCCCGAGCTATGGATGCTTCCATTTCCTATGGAATTCTGGGACACTATGGAATTATGGGATGATATATCTCCGTTCGGAGTCTTTGGTTTCATTTCACTGTCACTATCGTTATCGCTGTCTGCGTTCTCATGATATGGAGCGACAGCTGTACCAATTTCAATTTCACCCACACCCCGTATTGTGGTATCAACTTCGTCTGTGGATTCTGTGCCATATTGAAAACTGAACGCTGGATTCTCTAAAGCCAGTGGATTTTCCATGGTGGTTGTCATGGCGTCCAGGTCAATATGGAGGTCAGAGTTCACAGACTCGGCTGGAGACAAAGATGGTGCATAGTTTCTGACTGCTTTTGATGTGTTCACGTGGTTGGATTGTTTCTCTGGATTTAGACTTTTTCTAGATAAAAAATAAATAATGAGTGTCAGTGACATTGTACAGGTATAAAATTTCATCCTTATAGTATAAAATTAAAAAATTTTGTGTAGGCTTTTAGTTTTGTTATCTACTTTGTTGGTAAATATAATAGTTTTAATATGAAAAATATGAAAGAACTGTTACAGAGAATAAAAGGAAAAAGTTTCTAATGTTAACGTTGTTAAATTTGGCCAAAAGCTATACATGGTGTAAATGGTTTTTCATTGTCTGTTTTGTTACGATGATCAGAAAGTAAATAATTTCTAAAAAAAGACCAATTTAAATTTAGCTTTTCAACCAGTAAGATAACATGTTTTAGTTTTCATCAATGAATCAGTCATGATATCAAGGACTCCTGATGAAAGTTCGCAACTTACTGACCCATAGTTATAATATCATTTTATTTACTTTATGCAGAAATGATTTACTTTCTTTATTAATCTACAGATGGCTTACAAAGATTTCAGTTTTGACTAGTTATGATTAAGCTTTTACTAGCAGCTATATGTTCTAAGCATATCTCTAATGGTGGTGTTAATTTCTGGATAATAAAAAAACCCACTCCATGATATTAAGAGGTTTACGGTACGACAAGCAAAGGTTTATATCTATTCTAGGCTAAGAGAGAATAAAGCAGTTTGATTCTGTGTTAGATGACAAGCTCGTAGGGAGGGGGACGGGTGCCCAAGGGTTCAAAGAAACCACCCTTTTGGCCAAAAAATGGTCTCCATTATGTCAAGAGGTTGGGGCAAGCAAAGGTAAAACATTTATTTTAGACTTTTAGAGAATAAAGCTGCAGTTAGTTGGGGTTCATGCAGCATTGGATAACAGGCTTACAGGCAGGGAGTTTGGGGTTAAAAGAAAACTGCCCCTTTGACCAGAAAAGGTTCACTCTGAATCAAAGCATGGTCTGGGTTCTATGCCATTTCTCAAGTTGGAGAAAGATGTTTACATTTTCAGAAAAAGAACTCCCTTTGGATATTCCGGCTAAATATCACATAGAGGCTACAATGTACTATATGTATTATATGGGGCGAGGATGGGCAAGTTATGGAATGGAGACGCTTGCACTCAGTTGCAATGCGCGATGTTTTCGAGTTACGGGGCCCTTGATGCTTAGGTTTTATGGCAAGTTGTATAGCTATCACTATGGCAGCTACAAAAACAAGCTCAGGGTGCACTCACAATGAATCTATCTTACTAGGTAGTATGGACTTACTCCACAGGAACTCTTACTGAATGAAATCAGATTAACACACCTCCTTTTTCCAGTTTTTCTGTATTCTACTTAATGCCAAGAAAAGGAGTGTTAATTGTATTGAATTCAGAGTCCCCATGGAGCTAGTGTGCACTGGCTAGTACGATAGATTCATTGTGAATACACCCTCAGATTGCCTAGACTATGTCAGGATGGAGGCGGGATGTTGAAGGGGGGGGGGGGGCGGGGGTCAAGCAGTAACTTTAGACACTCACATTCTTTTGAATATTAAACCAACACGAAAAGATTTAAGACATGCAGTGGCTCTGAAAGAAAAAGGTTAAGGTTTACAACAAGATGTTAGGTTACACAACATGCAGTGTGTTAGAATAAACTGAAGTTGAATGGTTAATTTTGATGTAGTATAGGGCTGTTGACTACATAGATGTTGACAATTATCGGTTAATAACTACTGTAAGTCATTTGTCTATTTGATTATGTGGAATTACTATATTGATTATTTTTTAAATAAATATGTACCACTTGTGAGGCATGACATGGATGAACATACGTATCTGAACAAGACTAAGATATAGAAAACTTCTTATCTTAATCACAAACATAATGCTTTAATTAGTATAAATATCATCACATTCAGTTAACCAAACAAAAATTGTATAGTTAAAAAGAAAAAAAAAAAAAGGAATCTGGCAAGAAGCAACTGTATACCAGCCATAAGCAAAAAATAATACTGATTCTGTTCATGCATGAATATGACATGATTCATGCACAAAATACACAAGGCATTCCCTAGTATGGAGAAAATCATTCTGATAAAAGACATATGATGAACAAAATGCTGTGGCAAACAGGTGATAAAAGAAAACATCAGACAGCCTCATGTCTATTTATGTATAATTACTGGTATGTAAGAATGATATAAAATAAATAAATGTTGTGATGATGATGATGATGAAAAGGCAAGTGAATAGATAAAAATAAATAAGGATGATAACATGCTCATGCTTTGTAAAAGAAATGAAATAAAATAATTGTTCCTGATGTCTGTCATGCTTCAAGCTGTAGGCATTCCAACACAAATGGCTGGTAACTGGATACATAGATCTAAATCAGTGTGTTAGGTGTGCTCATTCCTATAGCAATTCTTACCAGTTGTTGTGGATATGATACAGAATTGTGTTGGGATGTGACAACTCCTCCCACCAAATGAGGTATTTGGACCGGTTTGAGGTGTGGTGGTTGCACTTCCTACCAATTGTGATGGACAAAAAAAGTATGTGTATTGCTAGATTGTTTGGATGTGACAGTGGTAGGTGTACCGATGTGGTAGGTGTACCTTTTGATTGTGTTGAAATGTTACAGAGGCTCTTTCTAAATGTTGTAGGTGTACTTTCAGACTGTGTTTGTAAGTAGGCCTTTTGATTGTGTCCCAATTGCAGTAGGTGTGCTCCCAGATTGTGTTGGGATGTGACATCAGTTTTTCCTACCTATATACACACTATCTACAGTTGTCTACACAAAAGAAGAGATCATCATAAGTCTATACTACTGATGCCACTGGGGGCATACATAGTAGGTTTATAGAGAGGATCAAACTGGGGAGTTCGCAGCTTGCGGTCCTTGTCTATTCTGTAAGTAAACAGAGAGACACTACACACACAATAATGATAGATATGGAGTGGCTGTTAAGTAGAGGGAATATGAGACACGTGTCCTGGTTGATTATTATGAGAAACATAGAATATTAATTTTCTACTTGATGACAGGTGGGACTTGTTTAAGAAATTTGGGAAATATCACTAAATACTGAAAAAAGAAAGGATGAAAAAACAGAGACAATCTAAACAGGTTATAGATACATACATGGTGAAGGTTCTATATGAGATAGAATCAGAAATCAGTAAGTAGAGTGGAATGTTACAATAATTCAATTCAGAAGCTACAAATAGGAAACCTTCCTGGGCAAAGATTATTTGCATTTTTATTTGTCTTTGCCCCAAAAACCATGAGGTGAATTAGAAGATATAGTAGCATTTTCAGAGCCAATTTCTTTAAAAAATATCAATCAATCATGGCTGAAAGCTCACCAGACCTTGCCCTCACTGTTGTAAGATTAGAAATCCTCATATTCTATCTAGGCTACACACTAAAACTAATTCACCGGGATCTACTTACCTTTTCTTTATGTATACCAAAAGCACTATAAGTACAATGAGCAGTATTCCCACCAAGGCACCAAGTATGTAAATCAGGACATAATCGCCCTCTGCCATTCCTTTCACTTCAGCAGGCGCGGGCATTGTGGGTAATGGCGGGAACTGGAGTGTGACCTCTGTTATGGCTTGTCTTGGCGGAATACCATCATCGAAAATTTTGACGGAGAAAGTGTAGGAATTCTGGGTGATGTTTTCCCCATGGGCCAGTATGGTGATCCAACCTCTGGAGTCGATTTGAAATAGTCTGGAAAATATGTATTAAAATTCTATTGAAGGGGATGTCCATGTATGTAAAATTTCTGTTTTTATGATATTTCATGTTGCACATCATTGTGCACATCATGTACAAATAAAAAATTGAATTCCACAGTGAGGAGAAAAAATTCAAAGAAACATAATAAGGAAAGTGATGGAGAAACAGCATTGCCCCCACCCGCTGCAACAAAATTGAATAATAAAAATAATAATGGTAATAATTATATATCAATAAGGCAAACAAACAAAAAACAATCATGTTGATCCTGTCTTAATATTATAGGTTTGCCGACACACACACACACACAGGCCAGCAAAAGTTCACTTACTCCTGATACTTCCCCATCTCAAACACAAAACTAGTCATGGGGTCGGCATCAGTGGCATTAAGTTTCCCCAGCACGGCCCCGTGTGACCTTGACGTGGCATTGAAGTGGTAGCTGTCTGAGGAAACCTGGGGGTTGTTGTCGTTGACGTTAATCACTGTCACCATTAACAGTGTTGTATCGGTCTGAAATGAAGAGAAAAGTAAACTGATATCTAATGACTGAGATTAATATCATGGCCTCAATCCCTCATCCAAGATTTTTCTAAAGGGAGAAAGGGGAATGTACAAGGATAAAATGATTATAATTGTACGATAATCTATAGGCCACAGGTATGGACAATTGTAGTTTTTGCTTCTTGTTGCCTGTTATACTCTTCCTCTTTTTTTTTTTTTTTTTTTTTTTT